ACTGAATGAATGGAACATGAGGTCAAAGGGGGTCCAGATACTGAATGAATGGAACATGAGGTCAAAGGGGGTCCAGATACTGAATGAATGTAACATGAGGTCAAAGGGGATCCAGATACTGAATGAATGTAACATGAGGTCAAAGGGGGGCATAAGTTAGATAGTTAACTCACTGGGTTAATGACACCCTCTCTAAATAAAGTTTATTGATTGATTGATTGATTGATTGATTGATTGATTGATTCAGGTAAAAGGGGGTCCAGATACTGAATGAATGGAACATGACATCAATGGGGGTCCAGCAATTAAATGAATGGAACATGAGGTCAAAAAGGGTCCAGATACTGAATGAGTTTGGGGTCCATGTTATGTCATAGCCACCATGTTGGTCAAGGATGACAATGCAAAGCATTCCTCATTAGCTTCTCTTGTTATTGATGGTTTTCACAGCAGGTATCCTAGCTTTGGGGAAAAATAATTTGCTTTAAAAAAATTACCATAGCTGTTACAGGTTCACTTGTTCCAGGTACTATGAACTGCAGGGTTAAAGTTCCTATAGGAATTTCTGGTGCTGGTTGCTCTTGGGGTTTTTCACTTTCCGCTTGGTCTTCTATAAGTGTTAATAAATAATTAATCATTTTGCAAACAAATCCTTTGTTATAAAATTCTTCTCAAAGCCATATCAAAATATTGATACGAAAGTTTACATGTTGATAAATATAAATCATGTTCAAGGACAATATATTTTGCAAAGGTTAAAACATATAAGCTCACGCAAGTCTAAATGTCGGACAATATTGAAGGTATAGTTGCTCTCTGGTTCCACTCCATATACGAATACAGTATCATGCGCTTGAATAAACAAATAAGAATATTCAAATTTCCACCTTTTATTTCTGGTTTATCCTCTGCGGGACACTTTGTTGTCGCCTTTTCTTCTTTACTTGATTCTTTTTGAGCTGCAAGTTTTCTTAAATGCGGGCACATCATTTCTGGATTTTCCTCTTGAGGTTCAGCAGGAGTACTCGAGTCTACAGACGGCATCTTGAAGCACTTTTCATTTAAAATGTTGAGAGAATAATAGCACAGATTTATATGCTACGTAATAGTAATGGCGTCTGAGATCAATGTCTTTGTGCTCCCGAGGTGAATAACCTCAGGGAAAAAAATTAAAATAATTTTAATATATCTGAGGTCACGTTCCCTGGATTTTAGTGAATAATAGCAAACTTTTTCTTATCATTTTTAAGTGCGTAAAATATTTAAATCCAATATGAACACTTGAACAATTCCTCAAGAGAAGTATAGGTCTTATTTGAGTTAAAAATATATAGAAAACTGATAGGAATTTTTTTTTCTTGGGGTAGCCGGCTTTCAGGTCACTAGTACATATGAATCCACGTGGAGGCGATCCACGTTTGAAGACCTCAAAAAATACCATATTTTAAAATAACTTTCAATTGCCACTTACCAGTCAGATAGCTGCTATAATGTAATATCTACAAGGGCTAGGATTTGAGGTTTTCCAGGGAAAGTAGAAGAGAAAAAATCAGTTTATCGTGGGTTATTTTCCGTGCATTCCCTTCTGCACGTAGCTTAGCTTACGCAACGACTGACCAGCAATCGCGGCTTTGCTCACACTAAACATGCGCAATGGAAAAATAACACGGATCGTGGACTTTAGATTATCGGATCCAAATCACATGACTTATTCGTTTCGTTTTATTCATATATGTTATATATATATTGTTAAATTTTATTTTTATAAGTTGATTGTATGACTGAATGACAGACGCAGAGATGGATAAACTTTTCGCTATTTCATTTCCCTTAGTTTCTCTGATCATTCCAAAATATTCGAAATCAAATTTCGGCAACCCACTCTGTACGTAGTCCTAGAGTACACTTACTCTTTTCAAACCGTCCATTTAAGGTAGAGTTAATTAAAGGCACTTAGAACAAGTTAATCAAAAAATCCGGTCAATATTTGTGACAGATAGCTTTGTGTGGTGGTATAGCACGCTTCACTATGTGTGATGACCCCCGATTAATATTTATTGGTGAAAACGTCAAGAATAAACCTCAAAAAAGACTACGAAGTCCGCTCCCCTGACGAGATCTTCCTTCGCAGTCCAAGAAATAATAATATTTTCAATGGAAGTTCAGTAGAAAGTTTATCAGTTGAATCAAAAGTGAAATACATGGTAAAGAAATAATTTACAAAAAATGGTGCAGATTCTTTCGTTTTCTGCGATAACCTTAATCTTCATTGGTGAGTGACCATCAGCAAATACCGTTAAATTCAAAGGAATAATGATAACAATTTTCTGTTGTTTTTTATCCCTTTTGATATTAACTTTTTGTAAAATTCGAAATTAGATATTAGTTTCGTCTTCATAATAAAATATTTAAGTTTTTCTAAATCATATAATAATTTTTTTTTGGCTAGCACTGAATTCGAAAATAATTCACAGCCATAGTCCTATCGGAAGAAGGTTCTGATTCTTGTTGATACAGTGTAATAGTGTACAAAGCTAAAAATTGCTAAGTGATTTAAATTTTTTAAATTTTCAATTTTATTTGTTGACTTATTTATTTATAGCAATACAGTCGTACTTCGGTCTCAGTTCTTAACAGCAGGGACCGCTTGCCAAAATCTGTCAGGCGAACAGCATCAACTTTCTAGTTTCTTTTTTTTTTTAAGGTTCAGTTGAAATTTTAATCAGTATATGAATTAAACTATATCAATATCATCGGTACGCCATCTGAGAAATTAGTTGGATTGGCTCTCAAATAAGAGAAATGCAATTTTTAGTAGTCTTGAATCCCTGCATGACCATGAAATTGTGGGTATCAACCTAGTTCACTTGCCTCTCACCTCTGAGGTCTCGGGTTTGATACATGGAATTAGCTTCACATGTGAATGACTTGTTACCATAGATCTCTCCGTCCTTGATTCGTGGATTTTCCTCCATCCGCAAAATCTAACACGCTTCAAATTGACTTATATCAGCCCTGGCAGAGGTTGCTTCAGGGTATTCTTGGGGTGTATTTGACATCATAGCCGCCATATTATTGACTATACAAAGCATTCCTCATTAGCCTCTCTTCTAGATCAACCAACCATGGCGGCTGATCCACCATTCTTAAGGGTTACATGTTACTTCATAGCCACCATGTTGGTTGACGATAACGAAGTATTCCTTATTAGCCTCTCTTGTTAGATCAAGCAACATGGCGGCTGCTTCATTGGTTTCCACCATTTTTAAGGGGTGCATGTTGCGTCATAACCGCCATATTGGTTAACGATAACAAAGTATTCCTCATTAGCTTCTCTTGTTAGATCAATTAACATGCGGCTGTTTCATTGTTTTTTATTGGTTTTTTTTTTATCTCAAGGGATTTTGAATCATGCCATGGTGGCACCCTAAAATTCTGTAACGAGTTTTAAAGGCATTGTTAACTGAATGTTTCGAAATTTCTTTCCTTTGTCGAACAGCTACAACTGGAAGTCAAGTTGTGATTGGAGGAACACGTGCGTCCAGTCACAAGGAAACTAAAGTTGTTGGCAGCAAAGAAGATAAAGTTCAGCAAAACAGTACCAATAAATTAAGCCAGATTTTTCACCCAACACCACAGGAATCCCACTTCGAGGCCCCGGTCAAGAAGTCTTTTACCTCTACAAGAACATTCATACGAAAAATCTTAGCCAACAAAAACCATGTTAGGAATAGAGTTAAGGAACCTCTTGTAAAAAGAGTGCTGAAACAAAATGGGGCCAAAATCAGCAAGAGCGATTCTGGTAAAGGATTAGAGATGACTGATGATTTTCTGGCTGGAAGCGTAAAGCAGTCTAATGCCATAGAAAATGCGCTGTCCTTTCAAAAAAGTGAAGCTGTTTCAGCGTTCCGTGAAATTCCTCGTCCTGGTGAAGAAAAAAATAAGAGAACAAACCCGAATGGACGGGCTACAAAAAGCACTATTGAGATACTATCAGAGAAGACAAACCCGGAGAAGGGGACCGAAGTTGCAAAATTTAGGTCGGAGACTGAAGACAAGATGTCGGAGATATCATTCGATGGAAATGATAATCAAGCGAGCCTAAGCAACGAAAACTCAGTGTTCAGACGTACAATGTCAAAAATGATCAAAGAAAAAGAAGCATCGAGCGCAAGACAAAAAAGATCGTTCGAAGAATTAAGAGGAAACAAGATGAATGGCGGGTTTTATAACGACAACCAAGATGCTGGTGCTACAAGTTTGGCAAATTCAGACTTGGAAGAAGGCTGGGAAGTTCCAGGAAAGAGGAAACATATAAAAAATGACGAGACAACGATGCTTAAACATCTTCTTCGCCAAGACACAATGGCGTTCGGTACCTTACAAGAAGACAAAGAAGAACAGAGCACTATCAAGGAAATAGAAAAGCTTTCAAGGCAAAGTTCATCGCTTCCTAAGAATCTTCATCTTCCATATATGTCAGGTCCGTTGGATGACATGGGGTTAGACTTCTCGAAAATGGATGTTTCGGTCGGAAAACTTGATTCGTCGGAGAATAACGACTTCAACGAAGGCGGCAAAGGGATTTTTCTCAAAAGAGATTCAGTGTCTGCTACAGGAGGTCAACATGACTGGGAGACCCGAAACAGGAATCAAATCCCGAGACACCACATTGACAAACCAGGTGGCCAGACTATCTATGCCATGGACGACACCGAAGAATTCGAGCACGTTCCGAAACTAACTCGGTTTCCGTCCTTTTATCGAGCGCCAGAAATCCGGCCAATCGTTATGGAAGGATTTCACAGGCTTGGTCGCATTCCCCCGATTGCTGCGGCGATTATTAGCAGAGAGGATTTGGCGCCTCGTGAGCCGATTCCTTCCCGAGAAGCCGAACCCGAAGATGAACCGCCACCAGTTTCGGAATTCATTGAAGCCGACGAACCAGCCCCGATACCTGAATTACCATCGCTACGAGAAATCCCTCCCATACCAGAAATACGTGACCCGGAACCTAAGGACTTGAATCCCAAAGATACGTTTGGGAATAAAGGTTAACTCTTTTTGTGCCATAGGAGTTTCGTTCAAAATGAGGTACACCGGTAGTTCCTTGTATATCTCTTGGTACGAGATTGGCATAGACTGTGTGGAAAGTTTTTTTACTTGGGAAATTTTTTGTTTCAAAAGTCAAATTTGGGAAAAAAACTCGCGGCAAAATACCAAGAACTTGGGTAGTCTCCAGGTCCTCGTTGAACAGAAGCTCTCTTCATTTGTAACTCGTTCCCTACTCTTGTCGTGTTTTCAGGCTTTGAAAGAGGTAGCAGGACAATTGATTTATTGTGAAATATATAGCCGGCAAACTGGTCGAGGAATAAAATTGAAAAACGTACGAATGCGAGAGTGAATAAATTCAGTTAGGTACCCTATTAGCCTCTCCAAAGTTGTTAAAAAAAAAACAGGATCCAGTTGGCATTCCAGTGCAGTGCATTGTGGGACTGTTTAAGGGGACAAATAAGCAGTCTAACAGTTTATCTGCCATCGTTTTCACGTATGTTACAAATATATGAGGAAATATTTATAAAGTTAAATAATGGCGAGAATATCTGATGCACGTAAAAGCCATAGGGCTTATCTGTAAAATCAGACCTCCTCCATTACTGAATAAATTTAAAAAAATACCATCTATTTCGTCCCCAAAAAACAGCCGAATAATAATGCACTGCAATGTCAACTCGACCCAGTTTATTTCATCCTCCTTGAAATGTCGTCGTCCTACTTTACGCCCTTTTTATTAAAGCAAATGATTATTCCATGCGTAGTTCTTCTTGCTCTGTGCGCCAAAACAGCCTCTGTCAGAGGAACTTAGAACATAACTTTGCAAATGATTCTGGTGCGACTGTAAATTTAGAACAACTGTCTCAAAGTTTAAAAATAGACTGATTCCATAAGTCGCAGTTTTCACTCCTTTGTTTTTGGTGGTCGCCCAACTAGGACCCATGAGCGACAAAAACAAAATCGACAGACAGTGAACCGACGTACCGACTTATGGAATCAGTTTAAGTTTAAAAGCGCTGTCTAATATTATGCCTGACTCAGCTTCACTCCAGCCAAATTATAATGAGACAATTCTAGTCAGAGCGCTTTCTTCACTCGGCTCAGATTGTCATAAGGGATGGAGTTACTTGTAGCACCGGACCGCTCGCTGGAGAAGTAATGTGGCGTAGCGGTAACTTACTGCCTCTGGGTTCGATTCAAGCCTGAACTAGAGCTCGACGTTACTGACTTTTTTGGAATACACAATTACTGGTAATCCAGTAGTTTATACTGTGGTCCATTGTGGTATTACATGTGAGTTGATTTTATTAGATATCTCAACGGTTTTCTTCAGGTTCACACTGAATTCCAATTCGGATTCGTTGAATTACACATACCCGGACCAGACACAGGTCAACGCACAAATGTTAAAAAAGTCCTTAATTAATGGATGTTAAAATCTTAACACACGATAATCTTTCTATTGTTGCGTTAATCCCCTTTCTCATTGAAATATATCGGACCATTAATAACATTAACTCTAAATTGAGCAAAAGCAGCGTTTATCAGTGTGGACTGATGTCCGACCAGTTTTAAAAAATCTGAAAAAGAAGAACGCACCGGCCAGAAGAATTTTTGAATTTTAGCAGAAAGCATGTAACGCATGCGCATTCAGCCAGAAAATTAGACACTGCTTGGGTTGGCTGTGATATTGAACTTCACTTGCTTAAGGTAAATCCCTTGAAAGAAATTTTGCCAATAACTTTGTCCTGAAACTTTGCATGGACATTAATTATGCTTTGGACATTTAAAAACTGCAATAAAAATATGGGGTCACCATTCTCGTTTTTGATTTATCTTGAAAAAACATCTCAAAATAGTCCAAAACTGACACTTTTCCGAGTGGAGACTTGGGCGAGTCAGATAAAAATCGCAATTTCTCTACACAAAAAAGAGAAAAAAGTGAAAATTGGTTTGGAACATGTTTCTCATTTAGTTTCCTAAAGAAAAATGCCTAAACTTTGTTAGTTCCATTCTTTTAGTTGCATGCGCAGAAAAATGCGCAGTGCAAAACAAGGGAATTACCTTAAAAAATGTATGGATCGACGTCGTTAACGAATAATCTACAATCTTGTTAAATCCTGAAGATTTTTCGAATCAATTTAATTGAGCAATGCAATGCAATGGTAGTTTTACAAAAAAATTATTTATCTAATGAACTTTTTTATTAGAATCCAATATGAGATATTTCAAAAGGGGTTCTTACAAAAAGTGTTTAATTTATTAGATAGCAGTAGAAAACATCAGCTTTTTAGAAAAAGAGAATGAGGCTTAAACATCATTTTCTGCTCTGTCTATGAGTTACTAGTCTCCCTCGCATCGGTTTTTAGTGTCGGTCGTCATCACGCAACGCGTTGCGTGACGACCGACACTAAAAACGGGTGCGAGGGAGACTAGTGAGTTACTAACTACTGAGTACGAGTGAGAGCGCCGGCGCCAAGTCCGTAACCAAAGCCCTTGGGTCCAAAGTTCTTTCCATAGCAAGCTGTGGATCAGAATAAGGAACAAAAGTGTAAGACATCTATTTTGCCTTTGCTCTGGAATGAAAAATCGGAGGAAAACCCGCAGAAAAACCCTCAAACACAGTAGAGAAGCAACGACCAACTCTACTCACAAATGATAGCGAGTTTGCTGAGAATAGATCTATGCCCGACCACAGGAGTGGGAGACGGTCCATTAGTAATGTACACCGCCACCAGTGTTTCCTAAACTGACCTCAAATTTGATTGACGGAAGCCAGAAATCCATTATAGGTTACTCGAATAATATCTAGTTGGCGTCTAATTGGTCGCGTCCGTGAGGAGTAAAAACCCTACTCCACCCCTCTTCGACGTCTTTGGTTAGGGATCTCAGGCGGGGTAGAACACCTCACTAAAGTTATTCCCCAAAATAGGTATTAAACGACAGAGATAAGTTAGCTTTTAAAAGCCCACTCACGAGCACAGTAGATCTCTTTGTCATGGTCTTTTACCGTCGTTGAATCCAAACCCTTGTTACAATCCTTGCAAGTAAAACACCCAAGCTTGTGCCAGCTCTGAAAACAACACAGAAACAAAGTATTAAGACAACAAGGAATCACGGGGTGATGTTAAAGCAATGCAGCTTGGACAGATATACTCTTCGACACGTGGTCTGAAATAGGAAAACATAGAGGTCTATATAGGTTTGTTTCACAGTAAATATGAGGAGAAAGTTTTAGTAAGGAGCTGAGCTAGTATCCACTTAATAAGGGGTCCGCTCCATAAAGGTATCATTATAATTTCAAATTTTTAAAAAGATAATTTTTTGTTGCAATGAATAACTAAGACTTCAATACCATTTTGCACTTTCACATTTACTCACCTGTCCCCCAGACACTATTTTTTCAGCTTCGTACACAGCCTTACCACAACGTGGACAGGAATTTTTCCTGCCATATGCAGATGAAACTGGCATAGGGCCAACTTTAGGTCTCATGTCAGGAACTTCACCCCTGTTCCCAGTGTCCATGCTGAGGGTGCCAGCTCCCCCACCATAGCCGTATCCCTTCGGACCAAAGCATTTACCATAACAGCTTTTGCAGAAGATGTTGCCTGAATGGGACGATTGCAAAAGATTCATTGTTAGAAAAAAATTGGAAAAGCTTTAGGAATGTCCTGATGAGATAAAATAAATTGGACAATTAAAGTGGAAAATTGCACACACCCTGCCTTCTGTTGCATATAATGCCACAAATCAATTGAGGGGTCATAACATTACTAATGATACAAATCTCCAATTGATGGTTGGTTGGGGATGGGGATGGATGGATGGATGGATGGATG